GGTTGGCGGGCTTGGCGGGACAGACTTGGCGGGTTGGCGGGTTGAAATACTTGGCCCGGCCCGCCAATTTTTGGCGAGCCAACGGGCATGACCCACTTTGCCATCTCTAGGTGCAAGTTATTGAATTTGAATTTAAGCATAATTCAATCCTTAAATCTAATTTATGAAGCGAAAGTTGTCCCCCAACTAAAACGTACCATTGTGATTACATCCCTCTAACACTATTTACTACTACGCTAGTTCGTACACTTTCATAAGTTAAATGCTAATATATTATTAATGAATACTATACTAATATTCTAATTCAAGTACGGCCTTCTCCAGTGTTGTTTTGGCTTCAATTTGTTTTGCTTTTTTCTCTTCCCTGAGTTTCCTTGCTACCTTTGCTTGTTCAGTTCTAGCCTTCAAGGCATTATCAGCTTCCAACATAGTTCTTCTCAAATCACCAAGTTCAGTTTCTATGTTAAAAGTTTCCAATTCATAGGACTTCAACTGGTTTTGTTTCTCAAAAAGTATGGCCTCAAAGTGAGAGATCTCTCTACAAAGTGATTGTCTACGTTGCTCAGAAGCTTGGAACAGAGATTCGGTTTTCACATAGAGGTTGTGAATGTGAGCAAACTTAGCTTTCTCCTCCTCAAGGCATTTACTGTGTTCCTCAGGAGAAAGGGAACATTGAATGGATTTGTTCAATTGTGCAACCGATGATGTGAGACTTATGAAATGCCAGATAAGATCATAGAATTGTTCGTCATTTGGGCCTATGTCGTCTAATAAAGAGAAAGTGTCATGTGCTGCCAATTTCATTGACTCATGCTGGTGAGGCTCCAAGGTTATTAGATCAATGAGAAGCTGCTGTTGTGCAACGAAAGCCACTTGTCTTTGCCTTTGTGCCCTTGACATTGGTTTTCTTTCACCGCTTACTGATTTGCTAGGGCTAAAAACATCTTTAGATAACTCAGTATAACAAACACTTGAAAGTTGGGTTTGTTTGCTGAGATTGATAATATCAAGCCGGTTATGTTCACCACAAGGATCAACATCAGGAATACTTGCTTGTTTTGGAACACCTATTGGATTAAAGGATGGGAAAACATCTGCAAAGAGGGTAGAGATAGTTCACCTGAATAAAGCAAAATCAAAGTGGACACAATACATAAAACTAAGTAAAGAAATCACACTCACAGCAGAAAATCTGATGAGATGAGGGGAATTTCAAGCTTTGTGGTGGACTAGAGAAAATAAGGCGACCTAACCAATTCATTGAACAAAAACCTGCAAAAACATCAAGTGAATTTCACACATGGCTTCTCTACAATCCATGTAAAAAGAAGATTTAATTATTTTTTTATTCTATAATTTCATCAATTTTACCTTTTCTCTTTATACTTACTATTTTAATGTTTAGCTTCACCAAAAGCGATTAAAAAGCACAGTTGATAACACTATAGGAATAAAAGGATAATTAAACCTAGAAAGAATTAAAGATCATTCCTTTGGTGAGCAATGTAAAACTTCACCCAAATGAGTGAAAGGAAGAAAATGAAAACTACCAAATGATGTATCAGCAACAGCAAACTTGTGCCTTGGAAACACAGCGTGTCCACCACTGATCCTTGAAGCAGCTGATAAACAAGATAATGGTGGTGTTTCCTTCTCAATAGAATCACATTACACTGAATTAGTAAAGAAGTAAAATCCAGATCCAGAAAATCATCTTAAAATTATGGAAAATGAAAGGGTATACGGTATACCTCTAGTACTGCATCTTCTCTCTCTTCAAGTTCTTCGTCATATACATCCATCAACGTTGAGTCCTCAGAACTTTCCATGATTCTCATCTTTTTGGAATGATTTACTAGCAAATTGCCCCTTTTAACCAATTCATTGTCAGTTTGATCACTTTGGTTGCCTTCTCCAAAACCATTAATAGTTCTTTTACAGCTTTGCCGCACTCTCCCGGTGCTTTCATTATCTAGCAACTCATCCTCCCACACAAGTTAACCGCAAGATCCTTGGCCCTGTTTGTTATATAAATATAAATTATTAATATATATATATATATATATATGAACAAGAATTAGATACAAGCAAAATTACATATATCATGGATGACCAAAATGAATTTTTCAGAACAAGAAGTCCATAAAATCCAAGATAAACAAAAGCAATACCAATACAAAAATATACAAGTCCCATGCATCGGTGTATGTTGCAAGTTGAGGAGAATTTCATGTTGAGATTCAGGGTTACTACGCAAATACTCATATTTTCACATTGTTAAGATATTATCCACTTTGAGTCTAATTCTTACAGTTTTGCTTTTAGATACCACCTAAAAGCCTTTCAAACCAATAAAGACAATTATGTATATATAAATCATGATCATCCTCTTGTTTGAATGATGCAAGACTTTCCTTATATCCCAGTATTTGTCATTTGTCGTTGAGGAAAGATAAAAGTGTTAATAATCTATTTTCTATTATTTGGTTGCAGAGAGAGTGAAAAAAGGAGAGATAAAGTTGTGTCAGAAAAACAAAAATTCATTTTCTTTCTTTCTTAACACGTTTCTTGAGATTCAAATTTCAAACTTTTTTCTTCTCTCACTTTCTCTGCACCATACCAAGCAGACCAATAAGTTAGAAACCAATAAGCAAGCCGTTAAAACTAGAAATAAGTAAGATCTAAGAACTCACAACACGCTTGTGTTTACTACACACCAACAGTAAGATTCCTCATTTGATCATCGCAACCAATATCATCCAAAAACTTGCCATTCCCACGAAACAAAAACTGTAAGTCAAGGTAAGCATTTTAACTTCAAAAACAACAAATCATATGATATATTATACCTGTTTAATAGGGCAAGTAAAACAGTATTTAACTGAACCAAGGTTCTGCATTGCTTTAACCTTTTTACACACACCAGCAGGACACACACATTCAGGATACTTAAACGCTGGAGGCTGCAAATCACTCTCATCAACGGGATCATTGCACCATTTAACAAAGTCTTTACACTTAGCCCCCTAAACAACAAAAGAAAAACACACTTAACAAAAACTGAGAAAGTGTTATGTTATCATTGTTGGAACCATTTGCATACCCTTTTGATGGGGCAAGTGTAGTACTTTCTGCCACTGTTTTTGACACTTTTTGAGGTTCTCACATCGCAACGCCCGTGGCCACAGCGGCACAATATGTTGTGGGCGCAAGGGGAATCGTTGGTGATGAAGGGTCTCGCATTAGAGGACTTGAGTGGACAGTGCCAGGACCAGTGACCCTTCTGATGGCACGTGTGGCACGTGTCGTTTTCCATTCTTTTGATCACACTTGGACTGTAACGTGTGAAAATTTCAGGTGTGTTGGGGTAGAGTTGAGCGAGTGAGGATTCTGGGGTTGAAAGTGAGAAAGGTGGCAGAGGCTTGTTCGCCTCTGTTTCACACACGTTCTTCTCATGATCCATGCGATCAAAAGAAGACAGAATAGAACAACATGTAAACAACGAGAGAGTGAGAGGAAACAGTTGTGTGGACGAAGTCTAAGTGGATGTCTTCATCGTCTACGGCAAGGTACGTATACACATGTTTGGGAAATGAAAGTTTCTGAATGAGGTGGTTACTTGGAAAGACTTGTACAAAGAAGCTATTTGAAATTTTTTAACCGAATAAAATATAACTTGTCTAGGAAGTTAGACAATGTTTTATATAGAAAAAAAAAGTGTTTTTTAAGGTGTTTTTGTGTTATTTTTCTATTAAATTTTAAATCAAATATTAAGTTTTCGTGTTATTTTGAAATATTGATTTTTTTCTATTAATTTTTTAAATTGAATAAAAAGGTTTTATTCAATGCGAGATAGAATAAGTGGTAAAGGATCTAAATGAAATTTTTACTTTTTTGATGGATATGAGTTTGAATTTCCTTATCACCACATAGTTCAGTGGATAACTCTCCCCACAGAGAACACTTGCATGTCATACTAGCTATAGAGATACACCTTTGATAAATGGAAGACTAAATAAATTGTATCATCTATAATATATAATTTACAATATTAGTAATTTATCTTATTTACATGTAACTTTTTTTTTTGAAAATAAGGTATGTAAAGTAGTTTCACATTATCGTCTAATTACAAATTATTATAATAATTACTTTATTAATTCTTTTATTAGTTTATGTAATAAAATTATATATATATATATATGTGTGAAAAGAATCAAATTACACTAATATAACTTTTACGACTTTAATGTATATAAAATTTTATAGTAGTATAAAATTATTAAATACTTCATTTGTATAGACCAAGTTTGACATGATATGTAATTTTGAAAATATACTAAAATATGGATAATTTGATTATTTTCTTATTGTTATTTAATTTTAACAAAATTTAACATATAAATTGAAGGTAATATAAAATTATAATTCAATAGTTGAATCAATAAAATTCACTTCAATATAAAATTATTAACAATGTAATAATTGATAAAAAAAATTATACCAATATAATTTTATCTATTTACATATATATATATATAATAAAGATTCTTTTATTTAGTTTACATATTCTTTTAAATCTAATATTTTATCTTAGACTCATAAAATATCAAGACTGTGCTTTCCATTGTTTTTTTTTTTATTTCTATTTGGTAAATAGACATAATTCCGATTGTTTATTTCACAACACAATCACAAAAAAAAACTAACCCAAACAATAAAAAAAATATCAACATTTCTACTTTTATATATATATATATATATATATATATATAT